TGTAAAAACTCTCTTAAAAACCATGGATGGAGGTGGTCTTAACTTTGTGAGATAATTTTGTCGATCATTATTTCATCCTCGGTGGAAAATGATAAGAATGGTGGAGATATTTTCCGGGATGAAATAAGCAACCTTAACCATGGACGAGGTAATTTTGTCGATCATTAATTCATCCCGGAAAATATCTCCACCATTTTTATCATTTGGTCTTTACTGATCATTTTCTAAAAGCAAGAGTCTAAATTTAATGTGGCAGGTAATTCATAGATTGCTTTCGCAGTTAAGAATTGGATACAGTCAAGCATAGGATTGAAGACATCAATGGGGTTTACTGATACATGTCTTTTGTGGCTATTGTCTTTGTTTTGATTATTGTTCATATGGCAGTGAGTCTCTTACAGCCAGATTTTTGGTAAATATAATTTAGCAAAATATTATACGATAAAAGAGGGTAATTATCTAGTTTTGGTAAAGTTGGCACATAGGACAGATTTTTGTTGTGATAGATTCGAGCTAAATCTTGGCTTTGATGGTTGTCAAGTGTGTGCTGTATAAAAGTTAAAACCGCGTTTTATTATTATTAACTGATTTGAAAATTTTATAGCAAATAAACATAACGAATTACTTCTTTTGGGTGTTCATTATCGTTATAAATAACTTTTCTTTATTTTTCCTATTTCTTCATTACCCTATAAGTTCCACGTAGTTGAAAACCAAAATCTTACAAATCTTTTTTTATAACTTCTAACACTTATAATCGAGATCAAAAGAAAAAGTGAAAATGAAGAAAATTACCAAAAAGCTATCGATGAAGTACGTGAAACTTCATAAGAGCCGGCTCCGGCAAGATGGTTCCATGAAGTCGGAGGAAGACGGTGGAGATATTTTCCGGGAAAATCATTCGCCGGAAAATGAGGAAAGTAACGTAACGAAGGAAACACCTAAGGTAACAAAGATTATGGAGTCCATGCACCGTAAGCTAATGCTAAAAGAAAAGACACGTAAAAAGAATATCCACGTGGACCGTCACGATCAACCCGAAATGTCCGAACGTTCGGTTAGGAATGGTGGTCGTGAACGCAATGTCGACCCGCTTGAAGGCTCAGTTAGAAACATAAATCGTGATGGTATGGATCAGCTTGAAGGTTCGGTTAGAAATTTGATTAGGGGGCGTATGGACCAACTTGAAGGTTCTATTAGGAACAATGCTCGTGATCGTGTGGATCAGCACGAAGGATCTAGCAAAAATGGTCAGAAAAATCAGATTGAAGATAATAATACTTCGAAAACCAGCGCTCAATTAGATCAATCAGAAGGATCGACTAAAAATCCTTCTGATTTCGCTTCGAAAAAAGATTATCTTGATTGGATTGAATACGTGGAAGGATCTAGTCATCATTGTTTTGATCGATCTGAAAATGCTGAGAAGTCTTATAGAAAGGATGATCTTGATCATGACCAAATAAGCGTTGGGATATCCGAAGGATCAATAGAGGGTAATAACGACGGGATCATATTACTCAAGAGCTCTAAGCATAGGAAAAATGAGAAATTTGAAGACTCGAAAGGTTATAAGAAAGGCAAAGCTAGAAAGGTCAAAGATTTATTGAAAAGTCAAAAGGTTGACTAATGGTTTACTAGGAATTTGACTCCAAAGAAAGGAGAAATGGTTCGCTGACATTGTATAATATGATCATTGATTATTTAGTTAGTATGTACTACTACTTTGTATAATCACTAATTTCAATGAAAGTCGTTTTTATTGATTTTCGGAGAACCGTATGATTAGATGTGAACGGTGGGGGTTGTATCTAAAACCTTGTAAGACGACTATTAGTTATAAAGAGAAAAATGTATTTCTACTTTCATCACTTGAGGGCTACTTACAAATGATATAGATAGGCTCGAGATTGGGTCCACTAGAAACCCAAAAGTATTCTTGATTCTATCCCTCAAAATCCACATTTTCTTATGGACATTCAAGAATGAACAAAAATATAAATTTGGAAAAAGAAAAACGATTTTTATAAAATATATGGTCCAACTGAATTCAAAATCCATAGACATTCAATAGTTTTCACATCGAAATTTTATTATTATTATTGTTAACACCGTCATAGTCCTCATGGACGAGATGATTTGGAGCCGGAAGCCTTAGCATTCGGACCGATGTCCAGCCCCATCGACTCTTGTTGTGGCCGCGGCTGCTGCTGAAAGAGGCTCCCTTGCTGGACCCTCGGATCCATGTTGGTGTCCATCATAGTTATGTTGTTGGCCCTTGACCGTTTTATCACATTTTTCATTGAGGTTTGCCAGTAAAAGAAGTTATGTGCATAGATCGCGACTTGCGTCTGGTTCTTGGAATTCAATAAGACCGCGATTTTTCCCCAATCTTTTTCAAACCGCTTCATCCCGATCAGAAACCATCTGCATTAGATTTTTCATCGATTCATAATATTAATTCGTTACGAATGTGAAATCATCTAATTTATAATCATGTTTCGCCTTGCAATTAGTTAGCGACATAAATTGACTCAAATGAGATTACCACCCGAAAAAAAAAAAATAAAAACATGTAAAATTACATGACGAAACGCAGATAAATCTTGAAAACATGTCACCATGCACTTACCATTATGTGAATTTGCCTAAGAAGAAAATGAGTTTAGTGGTATCGATTCCTAACGTAGATCCACAAAATAATACCACTATACTACCATGTCAATGTTATAATAACTTATACGTGTATGAAAATGTATATCCTATCAACTCATAACATTGTATTACCTCTATACTAGCGATGTTATAATAAAAATTTATTCGTGCATGTATGAAAATGTATAATCCTAAACTAACAAAAACCTTGATCAACTCATAATATTATTGTATACTTACTCATGTTCTTCTTTATTCCATACGGTTCTCTCGACCTGGTACAAACTCTGAAGCATTGCCTCAGTCAACTCTTCAGACAACAGACCAATCGATCCGATCTCTAAAAGGTCGTCGACCATTTCGTCGTAATGCTCCTTGACATGGACCACCGGTTTGTGCAGATATTCGGCCATACTTTGGAACCGAGCAGGCGAAAACGCACAGAACAACTTCAATGCATTCTTGAACTGCTCGTTCTCCTCTCTTGTCCACGAATTCGCAGCCATAATTCCAAAAAGAAATTAAGGAACCACGAAGCCTGAACTAAAATGTTGTGAATTTGGAGAACTATATATAATTTTACCAATTCTCTTATTTAATTCCTTTCTCTTGAATTATTTTCATTCATGTTTAGTTACATTTATCTTAAATTTTAAATGTATTTATCTAATGACGAAGTTTTCACCAATCAGATTACGATACGTGTAAAAATGAATTTGTACTTTGACGCGTGATATAAATTTAAATTTGACTATCTTGCGAAAAAAATATAGAAATGAGATAAATTTATACCGTTTAAAGAAATAACCAGTCAACATTTTTGTTTTGTAAATTAAAATTTAATAAAATGCTTCATTTTGTTTGAATGAAATATCAAACATTAAGAAGTTCTTATATATAAAAAAAAACTTCTAATGTATTATTAGTTTGCTATTTGATTTTGACTTAATTAATCTTAGCTATTTTTTTTTTCTGGTCAAACTTATTCATTAGTTAAAAGGATAGTGTTTAAGGTAGAGCATCAAATACACTTTTAGCTAAACCATCCGCTAAGACATTATCGGATCTTGTAACATACTCAAAAGAGATAACATTTGAAAACAGAGAAAGCTAATTGTTGAAATGAATCATTGTTGCCACATGGCATACCATCGACTTGATACACAACTTGAGTTCAATAACATGCCTAGAGTTACTAGAGTATCTCAATACCGAGTTCTATCGCGAGAAATTTCAAAAGATACCATTTTTTAAGTGTCATTTTACAAAAATGCCATTTTTTCAAAAAAAATTTTTTATATTATTTATGTTTGGGTTAATTATGTTCTATTAGAATTTAGTTATGAGGATTTATGGGGGTTTAGGGGTCAAAATATCTTTTTAGTGTTTAAAATTTTAAGATATAGGGTTTAAAAATCTATAATTAGTGATATTTTTGCAAATGAACACCTCAAAATAACATTTTTGTAAATGTGCACATAAAAAATGACATTTTTGCAATTTTCCCATCTATCATTGTATTTTTGTAAAATCAAAACTTTTCATTATATTTGTGTAATTTGTACCAATTAATGACATACGAATTAATGACATAGGAATTGGCAGTATATTACTAACGATAGTTGACCCACAAGATTACAATCTACGGTTTAGAAATATTAATTGAATTTTTAATAGCGTTAAACTTCATAGAAACTATTAATTGAATCAATAACTAAATTCCCATTTGGGAAAAGAATACTAGTAATAATTAATAAACAACAATGCTTATGCTTATGAGATCATCGTGAATACAAAACAAAAATGTACTTTAATATAATAACTAATTAGAGCATCTGCATTGGAGACATTTTGTATGTGTCTTTAAATATAAAATTATTAAAAGTTGAGTAAAAAGAAGAAAGAAAGTGTTTTTAGTTGATATAATGGGGTGTATTGAAATATAAAATTAATAAAATTTGAGTAAAGAGATGAGATAGTGGGTATTATTGGAGAGAGGATGTCTCGGAGAAGACAAAGTTGGAGAGAGAATAGATGAAAGTTGGAATGTGTTTAAATATAAAATTAATAAAAGTTGAGTAAAATGATGAAAAAAAGGTATAAAATTGAGTAAAAGGAAAAAAGAGTGTTTTTAATATTTTTTTATTTAGAGACATCCACGTTTGGTCTCCAATGTTGATGTTCTTAGTGTCCCTAAAGTTCGTCATAATTACATCAAAAGCCACAGTACTCTTCGTTCTCCATTATAAAACCACCTCTTTCAAACTTACTCTATAAATAATCCGATCCATCTTGACCCGACCCGAATCCAAAATGGATACCCGATACCGTAACCACGGCGGAGAAACCTCCTTCTCCAGCCTCCGTGTCTACCTCAACGCTCTCTCCAACACTCCCTCCCGTTTTTCCCGGCGAGCACTCTCCGCATCCACCTCTTACGACGAGATGAGCCGCGTCCGCGCCGTCTCCGGCGAACAGATGCGTCGTACTCTCCGATGGTACGATCTCGTCGGACTCGGAATCGGAGGTATGATCGGTGCCGGAGTCTTCGTCACCACCGGTCGTGCTAGTCGACTCTTCGCTGGTCCATCAATCGTCGTCTCCTACGCAATCGCCGGACTCTGCGCTCTTCTCTCCGCCTTCTGTTACACCGAATTCGCCGTCCATCTCCCCGTCGCCGGCGGTGCTTTCAGCTACATCCGTATCACATTCGGTCAGTACATACAGTCTCCCGCC